GGATAGTAATCCCTGACGCGGGATCCTGCGTGTTACATTGGATAGTAATCCCTGACACGGGATACTGTGTGTTACATTGGATAGTAATTCTTGACATGGGATCCTGCGTGTTACATTGAAAAGTAATCCCTGACGCGGGATCCTGCGTGTTACATTGGATAGTAATCCCTGACGCGGGATCCTGTGTGTTACATTGGATTATTGTTACATTGGATAGTAATCCGTGACACGGGATCCTGTGTGTTACATTGGATTATTGTTACATTGGATAGTAATCCGTGACACGGGATCCTGTGTGTTACATTGGATTATTGTTACATTGGATAGTAATCCCTGACACGAGATCCTGTGTGTTACATTGGATTATTGTTACATTGGATAGTAATCCCTGACACGAGATCCTGCGTGTTACATTGAAAAGTAATCCCTGACGCGGGATCCTGCGTGTTACATTGAAAAGTAATCCCTGACGCGGGATCCTGTGTGTTACATTGGATTATTGTTACATTGGATAGTAATCCCTGACACGGGATCCTGCGTGTTACATTGGATAGTAATCTGGAAACTGACATATTTGGCCAAAACATTGCTGACGTGATAAAACATGTGATTTTTTTCCTTGATGGCTATTTTAATTTTCCCTGCCAGTTACTATTTTAATGACTGTATCCCTAGTGTTTGGTAAATATCACCTGTTATTGTATACTAATCAATAGATTATAGAAATAGCATTGCTAGAGTTTCATTTTACATTAGCCATTATGATACCTTTACTGTACTTAGAACATGCATTAGACTGCATTAAGGAGCTGGGATTTCTAAAAGTAGCGTACCTTCTTGCTGAAAGTATTTTTTACATTTATTAAAGCATCTTACAAACGTTTTATTTTTTTAAATACAATGTCATTGGGATTGCTTTTATACCATCCCAATGACATCACACTATGCTGAGCCTCCATTCCTGATGACATCTCACGTGGGTAAAGTACATCACGGAGCAGCTATAATATTCTAATAAAATATTCTGCTTTCACACAGTAACATATGGAAGCTGAATGAAATGCAGGCCACATGCGCCACTTTACAGTAAAAGGCTAGCGAGAGACATGCGCAGCACAGAACTACCTTTAGCAGTCCATTACTTTATGTTGTGTTCTGCAGGTTTTAATTGCAAGAATTGGACAACTGCCAGCATACCTGTTAGTCAAGGGATAAGTGTTATTACTTCAATACTGCATCATAAACACTTAGCACATTGTAGTGGTTATGGTGCAAATAGGTTTTGGTTACCATCTCCCCATTAAGAGGTTTGTCAAAAAACAAGGGATTTGTTCTTGTTGCACTGGTGCTCGCCCACATGTCCTCAGTGACTCCATGTTTCCAAACTGGCCTCTACATCTCAGAGGACCAGTGTCCATCTCATGTCTCCTAATTCTGTTTTGTTTTTCCCCTTTTAGGGCTCATTTCAGAAGTTTCGTTCCTCAGTTCCAGGAAGCGGCCTTTGCAAATGGAAAACTATAGAGTTTAACAGAGAAGCATCCTTATGCAGAACGCTGACTGAACTCCCATATTATTCTAGATGAAAGAATTGCCCGACACTTGGAGCAAGCACCCGAAGCACTGCACACGGCCCGTATTCAAATATCCGGATTCTGGATTGCCACGATTTCTAACTAATATCCTGTTTAGTACCTCCTATTTCCATGGAATACCTGCTTTAATTCTATTTGGCATCGTTTGCTGTGAGTCTAATTACCAGTCTTACCCAAAGCCTGTGTTTACAAGGAATTAGATGCTGAAACAAAGGTTGACTGGATACATTTTTGAGGAACAGGAGAATTTTGCTTGTTATTTTGTTCACTTAAAACTCCAAAACCAGTTACTTAGCAACAAAGCAATTATAAGCTGGATGGTAATTTTCTCGGCTCTGGTGAATTCTTTAGTAATTCCGCCACTAAACACTCATTTTAGGGAAAACCACTTTAAAATATGAAAGAAGAATACTTTTATTTCCATTTAACTCAATCTGCAACGATGGATCAAATGTCCCTGTTTGTCTCCTGTGTAGAAATCTGTTCATAAAAGATCAACAAATGATTTCTTTTTAAAATGTCATTTTTACATTATTTCTACGCTATATCTTATGTCATAGATAACGGCTGTAACATTTCTTAATAATATGAGCAGCGACATTTTAGTGTCAGTAATTTGTTCTAGTATTTTCCATAGAAGGACGACTTGTTATCAATGGCTGCGCACAGACTTTTGCCAAAGTAATTGTAAGAAATGAAAAAAGTGAAAATATCAGTGGGTGTGCTGGCTTAGATGTCTATGTGCACATGTTCCGTTCTCTAAAATTCAATGAATATAATATTTTCTATTTCGTATAAAAGGCTTTAATAAATCCAGTGAGTTTCTGCACTCCATTAATTTGCTTTCCCTGACCATAAGGTCTATTCATTGCACTGGAACTGGGGAATAGACATCGGAATACCTTTGGAAAATATTTTTCGCTTGAGCTAACATTTAGTTTATAAGTAGCTGCGATATAATTTCCTGATTAATGGATTTTATGTTGTCCCGTTTCTCATCTAATCTTTCAGATAGGGGATTGCACTGTACATTACTAATTTCCTCTGCTTTTAACTAATACGGGACAATATGGTTCAATATGGCTTTGTACAACTCAGAAAACAGGGCACCCCCCACACCCCAACTTCAGCACTCAGAAACATGATGCCAATTGAAGTCCATCGGTTTAAGATTTACAAGACCTTGGCCTTAAAGGTGAATTGTCACTTTTTTTTGTGGAAATTACACCATTTAATAAAATATGTAAACTCCCCTTTAACTTGTGTTGATCTTTTTCATGTGGTGCCTGTTTAGATTTCTATCGTATTTATTCATATTAAAGGGTAACTCCAACCACCATGATCACTCCATTGATTTAAAGTGGTCATAGTGGTAGGAGTATCTACCACTGAGTTATTGTTAATTGTGTCCTGGAGGCTTGTTGCATCCCCGGCACACGTGTTATTGGCATCAGACATAATAATCTTCCCCCTCCCACTGTGCATTCCCTCTCGTGTCCCCCGTT